TTAAATGTATTTGAAACTGGATCTAACCCCCGAGGAATTTTAGAGAACAGTCTGAACATTCGCGATAAGTCTTCAACCTAGAAAGTATCCCATAAACAGCGAAGGAGAAGAAAATATAGGTTCATCTTCATATTGAATAACCATTTACTTGAAAATAAAATATAGCAAATTGTGCAAGTACCTTGTCATCTCTAAGCAATGCATGACATCCAGAATGCTCTTTTTCAAGCAGTTGGGTAGCATAGGCAGACAACAGTTCATGTTGAACTTTCTAGAAAAGAGAGAATGCAATACATCAGCTACAATTATGAGGATGACCATCATCAAAGAAGAATGAAAAAAGCTAGTACCAGCTAAATCAGTTGGAAGTTTACTTGATCAAGAAGACTTATTTTAATTACAAAGGCACTAGGAAGATAGAACAAACCTCAAGAAGTTTAGGCTCACTGCTAGAGTGCAAATAATGTGAGACTCTATCCTTCTCACGTCTTAGACATTCCTCAGCCTAGAGTGTCCAATAAAATGAGTAAGTAATCCTACCAGAAAGATGAGATTATATTTATCTACTAAGCTAATAAAAAAAAAAAAAAAAGGAATTACTTTCAACATATAATCAGGACAGGAGTCTTCGAGAATCCAGTTAGAAGCCTTTCGAGAGTAATATGCAGCAGTGTCTTTGAGCATGGCTGTTTCAAAGTCATTTTCATAGCAATCCATTTGCCCCATCCCAATCTCCACAAATATATCTAAGACATTCTTTAGCAAAGCCCGGTCAATTTGCTCTCCTTCACGCTCTTGATCGATCTGATAGGAGAAATCTAGTTATGCATTGCAAAACTTAAATGATGGTGCACAAAATAAAAGGCATTAACATACCAGTGATATAACAGCATCTCTAACTTTTGCATTTAACTCCTGGTAAATCTGAATTAACACAAATATCAACAACATATTCTAATGCTGTGACTCGCAGAGTTGAGTTGCAAGTTTCACAAGTGTAAACACAACCAGGTAAGCCAAGCAAAGAGGCAAGAAATATAACATGGTAAGAAAAATCCAGTGCAGTTTTTGGTGGTAACGTACCAGATCACGGAAGCAAGTCAGCCCAACATCGTGAAGCGGTGGAAGTGACCTTCGAGCTATAAAGTACCGATCAAGATAATGGAAAAAGCGAGAAAGCCACCTAACCATCACTTTGTGATTTGCCCATCTTTTCACAAGCTCTCTCAACATGAACTCATCATGTTTCTCCCTCAAAGATGGCAATACCTGAACAGAAAGTTCAACTGTGAGTGTCTGAAACAACAACTAATGATACAGATATAATATATGAAACTAGGACTAACAACACAATGTGCTGTGAAAGATGCGATCATAAAAGACTACAAAAGCATTTTAATTTCCCCAAACAAATGGTGAAATTAGAACATTAAGGACATTGACATGGAATTGATAGGAAAGAAATGCTCATGATTCTTCGACATGTTGTAGTGTGTCAAAAGTTTGACATATGAAGATAGTACTAAATGATATCTGGCCAGCAGAAAGATAAAACAGCAGAAGAATTGTTCAAACTAGCCCATTTGTTAACAGTTTGACAAGATGATTAACTTCGTGTCGGTTATTTCTAGCTTGAGGGGGAGTGTCAGTTGTTTCTAGTTATGTTTCCCTTTTGGTTAATCAATATATTTCTATTTATTGTATTATATAGCTTTAAAATTATTTCCCTATATGTAAATGGGTCTTTCTTCCATTTAAGAACTCCTTTCTTCTTATAATAAAATATACATAAACTATTATCTCTCTTATTTAAGATAATTTTACAAATGTCTGATATCTAACATAAATGTATATATTCTCAGCAAACTTATCATTTACATCACCAAAACAAATGTCTGCTAAATTTCATGTTACGAAAAAGATAATGGCCCAAAGGTCAAGGAAAACCAATACATAAACTACATAGTTCTTACCGATGAAGTTATGTACTCTTCAAATGATTCGCGGTACTTATCATACAACTGCTGTGAGTAGTCATGTGGAGGCTTTTGAGTACACATATTATAGATGGTTCTGCAGAGATGTAAGTCATCATAAATTGAATTAATCAAACTCCATCAAACCAACCTTCAAATTGCCAAGTAAGAACGGTAGAAAGAATTTCACCCTCACCCACCCACCAAAAAAAAACCTCTCTAATAGAGTGCGAAATCAAAGAGAGTCTCAACCGATTCAAATTCCTTATGCTCAAAAGTAATCTAATTTTTTAAGAAACCAACTTATCAAGAAAACAGAGAAGACTATAAGCCTTCAAAGAGTATGGAAATGGGCACTAATTGGAACTCCCATTCCAATCCTCCAATGAGTATCCATCCAATAAATATAAAAAGCGAAGACAAGCATGACCATAAGTTTAGAAAGATTATTACGTGTAAAGCATCATGTAGTCTTCCGAGCTGAACTGTGGCTCCGGCAGTCCCTCTAGAATGTTCTTCAATTTCGTGATTCCCTTTTGCATGAAGTCCCATCCTTGCTCCAAATCAATGGTCTTGCGCTCGTTCATCGTCGTATTATCACCAACTCCTATTTCTACAGTTGGGGCCATAACATTCACAATCAGATCACACGCCAATCAAAACACGAACAAAATCGGAAACGGAAATGACAACAAACAACAAAAATTTCAAATTCCCAATTCGAATATGAAATTCAAGCTTCAAAGTAACAACATAGATTAACATTAGTGAAACTCATCCTGAATCACAAATTTCAATCCAACTCCCACGCAATAGCGAAAATGAACCATTCATGATCTGAATTACACCACTCCAAAACAATCTTAACATGAGTACCAGAAACAACAAACAAAAATACATTACTACGATCCAGAAATTTGCAGACAGATCAATTAAAAAAAAGGAGGAGAAAATTACCAGGAGAAAGAGAGGGAGATACTGATAGCAGATTCGAACCAAAACAAAAAGAAAACCCTACGAGGAAACTGATTCAATGAGCGGAAAGTAAAACCCTGTAGATAGCGATCGAAAAGGGAGATGAGCGAAAAGAAATTCCGATGGGCGTTGGTGGGATAAGTTGCAAAGTGCTAGCGCGATTTTCTTTGATAATAATATTTTTCAATTTCTATAATTAAAAAGAGAGAGAGAGAGAGAGAGAGACTTAAAAAATAATATCTTGGGGTAATTTTTTGTCAAAAATTAAAATTATAAACTAATAGAATTTTATAATGAAATTTAAAAGATTTTAATTTTTAATTTTTAATTTTTATCTAATTTTAATGAAATTTAAAATAGTATATTTATCTAATTTTAATTTTTAGTAATGCTATTTAACGTAATATTAGAACTTGTAAAAAAATATTGATTTTTTTAAACCTAGTTTAGGGTTTTTTTTTAATTATTATTTTACAATTGAACTTTTTTTTTTTTTTTTTTTGCATTATAAATTATTTACACAAAATTGATTATGAAATTTATTAAAACAATTTATATTAAAAAAAATAAAACTTTGGATAGGTTTTAAAAACATTTTTATATAAAACAATGAAGAATAATTAGTAAAAGAACATTTTTTTATTAATAATAAATTGGCAAAATAACTTTTTAAATAAATTTAATTTGTTTGTTTCAATAATTAAGAATTAGCATATATCTATCTTCCCTCTACTTTTGTAATTATTATTTTTCCTATGCAAACAGTATAAATTTCATAATTTAATAATATTTTATATAACTTTTCTTCTTGATTTTTTTAGTTCTCCCCAGAATAGTTATATATATATATATATATATAGTCTTATCTTTGGGGTAATAAATAAAATGTTAAATTATAAATTGGTCCTATGTCGTTACAGACAAAACTTTTATTTAATCACTATAATTTGGTTAAATATCTCATTGATATGGGCCGTGGGCTGCCCCATCTCCCAATTCAAGATCTAAGTGGTTCACCCCATTTCACTAGTGTCGAAATAGGTCGAGAATCTAAAATAACAGCACACACAAGCCACATACCCCCGAAGGCACCGCTTTGCCAACCATTACCGGGAGGAAAATTCTCATGAAAATATTATGCATTAAAATTAATTCTTAAACATTTCTAAATCTTGAAGAAAAAAAAAAGTCCTTTAAACTACTTTCAACTGCATTCTCAAACATACCCTTAATAATTTGTGTTGAGATTGTTGGGAGAGAGTTCCACATTGATATATTAAGACAATAATCACGAGTTTATAAGTAAGAAATAGTATTGTCATTGGTATGAGGTCTTTCGGGAAAACCAAAAACAAAACTATGAGAGTTTATGCTCAAAGTAGAGAATATCATATCATTGCAGAAGTCCGTGGTTCCCGAACAAAAAGATTCAGCCAGAAAGCACATAGCAAATCTATCAAGTCTTTATGATGATTTATTGGGTTTAATATTATGAGAATGTTCTTGAATTCAAGATAATGTGTTGATATCTCTTACAAATAATTTCTCAACGGAGCTTTATTTATATGTTAGCTTCATGAGTAATGTTTGGTGTCTGTTGCTGCAAGACAGGGGCAGCCTTCTCTGCCTCAAGCTTTCTTAGTGTCGAGGAACTCAGCTTATCTCCACCGGACTCCTCAGTAACTAAATCAACAACTTCAATCTGCAAACCAGAAACATCGAACCGATCGAGTTTAGAATGGGATTTTTTTTTTGGTATTGCAAACAAAGACGATGAGAAAAGACTCGGACCGACCTTCAGTAGCGGAAGCCCGTTCTCGCCACGCTTCTTATTAACCGACATTCCACCTGCTAATGTCTCTTTGCTGCCAAAAGGAATAACCCAGAAAAGCAACATCAGATTTACGGTGAAGGGTTTATTGGAAAATAAACATAGTAATGGGAAAACCTGACAACGATAGCCTCCAAAGTTTTGTCGACAACGGATGGGCCATATGGATCGACGATAGGTTCGACATGTACCAAGAGTGCTGGCTTCACAGACTGCAAAAATCGTCTCACGACGTGACTTGAGAAATGCAAGTAGCAACGAAATAACATTTATTCATAAGATATGAAACGGAGTCAATGAGGAATGAATTTGTTTTCATGAACATATGCCAGAAATGGACTTCTTGGTCCATGGAGTCTAAGCCAGGTCCATGCAGCAAAGTTACAGTTTAAACTTGAAACAAATTTTGCAAGCATAAACTAAAGTTGATGAGTTGTTATAATTAACTTCTAGTCTGTATTACCTTTCAAAAAATGATCAAGAACATGACTAGCTGAGGTCTAGCTGAGTCGTGGGATCATATTCACAACCGATACCATTAAACTGGCTACAAGGGGAGAGGTAGTGTAACAGCCCAAATCCATCACTAACAGATATTGTCCGCTTTAGCCTATTACATATCGCTGTCAGCTCCACGGTTTTAAAACACGGATATTATCCTCTTTGGGTTTTCCCTCTCGAGACTTCCCCTCAAGGTTTTTAAAACGCATCTACTAGAGAGAAGTTTCCATACTCTTATAAAGAATATTTCGTTCTCCTCCCCAACCGATGTGGGATCTTACACAAACAATGAATAACTTCGGTTAGAGCAAAGCCCAAAATGGCCTAACCAAATGATTGTTTAGCCAATGAGGGACTATGCCTAAGGCTGTTGTGGTTGTAGCTCCATCAATTAATCTTTCCGTTCCTCAAAACAAGAACGAAAAAACAAGAGAAAAAAAAGAAAATAAAAAAGAAGCTGAAATGAAGTATAAGATACACCTTTACCATTTTTTTTTATTAACAACTACAGCAAGAAAATCTGCCTAACCCATGAAACCCAAAAAGAAAAAGGTTCTTAAATGAAGTACCTTGACATAATCTACAACATTTTGCATCCTTTCCTCAATGGGTTGTATAAGTTCCCGAAACTGCGATGAAGTAAAAAAGCAATTTAGATTACCATCTCAATCTCGTCGACCCAGAAACAAATAAGGTTTCATCGACATCATCAACAAAACAGCTTTAAATTACATCAAAGAAATAAAGGAGGTGATTATACATCAAGCATCTTATAAGACCTCTAAAGTCACTACTTTTCATGGTGTCCTTCTAGAAAGCAACTTTCCTTCTATAAACGAAATGACAAATACTTGACCTTCATACTTTTCCTTAAAGTAATCGCCCTTGGCTTCTATAAAGAAAATAACTACCTAGAGCACTTGTAAGTGGCAGATTATGTAACAGCCCAAGCCCACTGCTAGCAGATATCGTCCGCTTGGCCTGTTACGTGTCGTCGTCATTCTCACAATTTTAAAATGCGTCACTAGGGAGAGAATTCCACACCCTTATAAGGAATGTTTCGTTTTCCTCTCCAACCGATAGGGGCTCTCACAAATCATTTTCTTTTACCAATCAGTAAATAACGAAGTTGCAGTTCCAATACTGATAGTAGCAGACGGAAAGAACTTCGTGTTGATCGAGGGCTAAACAGACGCATAATATGTTGTAACACTAACTGGCAATGCACTAAAAGTTTGTAAACCACACACTGAATAGATTTCATAAACTCAATACCAGCTATCCAGAATAGAACGAAAGTATGTTTAAAGCTTCCAAATGTTGATAAAGAAAAACTAAAAATGGTCGAACAACAAAGAAAATGAACAAAGATGAAGTAAATGCTGCTAGTTCAGGAAGAGGTGAGTACCTTTTTTTTACTCAGCATAGGACCGTCACAAACTCCAATCAGAATCCGATCCCTAGCCAGCTCTGCTGCAGCCTAAATTCCACCATTTACTACCAAAACTTAAAGGGGAAAAGGCCATTAAAAGTAAGAAGAGATACCTTGAGAAAGAGACGGTGACCGTCGTGTAATCGATCAAAAGTTCCACCAAGAACTACGGATTCATATGAATTTGGAGGAGAGATTTTTGAATCGATTGCCGTATCCTCCGAGATAGTCATTTCTAGGAACCCTAATTTCAAGCTAATGTCAATTGATCGAACAACAGGGCAAAGATCAGCCTGCTAATCTTCTTATTCTACTCATCTTTCCATCAATACTAACAGAAAGTCAAATCATCAAAAGAATAACAAAATCCACTAAAATTTCATTAAATCCAAGAAAGATCAGACGAAATTAAAAAGAACCCTAAAGCCTTTGTAGCTATCCCACGAAACTTCTTAGCTGAAAGGATCGTATGGCTATTACCGCCGTCTGGTTCCTACCTAGAAAACTTTCTTTGATTCTAATTCAGAAACAACATACCTTTGTTTGTTGATTGCTGCCGCTTCCTCCTTTTCTCCTGAAATCAAACTTCTCTCCCTCCTTGACTGCGATTTTAGTAAGTGATTTCCTTGGGAGTGTGGAGTGGAATGGACGACTCCATTTGAGAAAAATCTCTTCCTAACTTGGATTTCTTACTAAAATGATCGTGAATTAAATTATTATAGAATTTTAAAATAAAATAATTGTCGGGTTAGAAGATCGAATCTCCAAGTTCAATCGAGGGAGCACACATCCGAGCAAAACTAATATAGGATACAAACTCAACAAGATAATTTAAGCCGTCCTTTGTGGTATGCCTACCCCTAAAAAGTGTCCTAATAATCTTCATCGTCCTCCTGAACAACTTCTCGAAAGTAGGGTTTAAAATGACTCTCGAAACGGTAAGGGCAAAATTGTAATTTACCATAATATTTAGGGACATAATTGAAACTTACAACTCACATTTTTGTATTCATTGTTTCGTTTCATTTCAATGTTTTTCTTGATGAAGAATAGTGAACTTGCAAACACCAGCGTTGTATTATGTTGTATACTTTTGATCAATGCAGGTCCAAGAACTGCCCAATTCTCTTTTTGGTCTACACGAGCGAATTTTGCAAACACAGTCGACGTCCGATCTAGGATCCATCTTATCCAACATTGAGGCGGGAGATTCAAATTTTAAATCTTTTGATCGAGGTTACATGTGATCATCGGTTTGCCCACCATTGCTCTATGGTAGAGAACAAGTTTTAAAAATCTTAAAAAAAAAAAAAAAAAAACTTAGAAAATATAGGTACAGACAAAGAAACTTGAGGCAATTTGATCATATTGCAAATACATGGTGCAAGAACTTCTTCATCTTCTCCTCCTCCATACTGATCCAAGCATTGACACTACTTGTACTCCCCCGGCTGCCGTTGGCCGGAGAAAGCAACAGCACAAACTCATCGTTCCCATTTGCCACCGGACCACCATGGATTGGCTTCCCGAACCCGAAATCCAGCTCCCTAAACGCCAATTTCCACCAAGCCGAAACATAAAAACTATTCCCATTACAAGTCGCCGGAATGCCTCTATAAACCTCCAGCCAATCAATCGCCGACCTCACATACTCCTCCGTTGAGACTCTTTCAATCCCCTCCTTCACCTTCTCCACGCAAAACGAAAATGGCCGCTCCACCACCTCCGCCGCACGCGCCGCCGCAAACCCAGTCACCACTGCGTTCCCGACGAACCCATCGGGGAGAACCGGGCGGATCTTGGACCGGACATCAACCGCAAAGAGAACCATGGAGATCTCATCCAGCCGGTCTGTATAAACCGCTCGAGTCCTGGCCCGCCAGAGCTGGGCCAATATGGCCTGGAAGGTGGAACACGGAGCGGCGGTACGCTTTAGGGCAGCGATGGTGGAGGGGGAGAAAGGGATAACGGTGTGACGGCGGTTTTCGACGGCGATTGGCGGCGCTGGAGAGGGGGAGAGCTTGGTGACGGTGGTGAAGGCGGAGGGGAGTTTTTGAGTTGGAGAAATGCAAGTGTATTCTTGGTGAGGGTGTGTGATAAGAGGGGGGATTCGAGCTTTGAAGCATGTTCTATTGTTGAAAATGGTTTGGGTTTTGAGGCCTTGGCCGCGGCAGATTGAGGCTAGGTTTTGGAACATATCTGCGGCGGATTTGCCGTCCAAAACGCCGTGGTTCGTCACCATTCCAATCGCATAGCCGCCGCATGCGAACTTCGTAACCTAATAGAAGTAGAGATGATTTAATATCTATGTCATTTGAAGATCTTACAAATTGATGCAACCATTTCTCGTCATATACCTGAATCGTAAACAGAGCTCTTTCCGGGAGGCTTCTATGGAGTCCAGGCCGATGAACTAACTGACAAAAACTCGGATTCGGAAGAGACAAATCCCCAAGTTCCTTCATCATTACCTTCGATTTCGCATTCACAAACACAACGCCGGCATTGTTACAAACCAGTTCCAATCGGCCAGTCTCCCGGTTCACCTGAAGCCGACCGGCCAAGAAATAGTACGGAACCAAAAGCACCGCCATCGCTCTCTTCACCATCCTCGACATCTCCGCCGCCGGACCGTCTTCGAAGAAGTAAACGGTTTCGACGGTGAACGCCACCGCCAGATCGATGTTTGATAGGAAGATTGTTTCCACCGGCATCGGATTGGCCGGAGATAGGAGTTTCAGCGGCTCATCTTTGGTCAGGTCTTCGTCGGTTAAGGAGAAAGGCGCGACGGCCATGGCGGCTTTGAGGCTGATTGAGATTGCAGAGAAGGAGGAGAGAAATCCATGGCGGATTGAGGAATTTTAAAGGAGAAGTGACGATTTCTTTGAGGACGGAGAAAAGTAGGGCATGAAAGTTTCATTGCTGTCAATCTTTCAGCAAAAAGAACATGCTCGTTTCTCGTGGTAGACGGAGAAGGTGATCAGGTTGGTGGTGAATATATAAATTTGAATTTATACCTAATAATTTAGTAAATATAAAAAAGTTGAGGGACTAATTTACAATTAAACAAGATTTGAGTCCTATATGAATTAGGTTGGAATTAGGTTACTATTACCTTGATTAAAAATTCCAACTTTTATTCACTCTTGGGATCCGGCCGGTCCATTCCAACTTTCTATTCATTCGTGGGATCCGAGCGGTCCGGGGGATCACTCGGTTCCTCTCTTCTCGAGAATCCATACATCCCTTATCAGTATACGGATAGCTATCTCTCGAGCACATGTTTAGTTCGACCTCAATGGGAAAATAAAATGGAGCACCTAACAACGTATCTTCACAAACCAAGAACTACGAGATCGCCCCTTTCATTTTGGGGTGACGGAGGGATCGTATCATTCAAGCGTTTTTTTCATACTTTTCCTGGAGGTCGGGAGAAAGCTCCGAAAGCGAAAGAAAGAACATGAAATTGTTGAACCTTTCTTCCGACCAGGAGATTTGAAAAAAGATGGATTATAATCTATTTTCAAGTTGGTTGGGTTGACCTAACAAATAAAATGTCAACTTACAAACCAGCCCAAAATTTTTATTTTCAAAAAATTCAACCGAATCCAAATCAAAAGAAAAAATCTAACATATTTGAATTGGGTGGTTTAGATCAGTCTAATTCTCAGAATCATTTAAACACTTCTAATAATTATTGTTGGTATACGTATATTACTCGCAGTTACACCTATAGTTAATCATTTAAACACTTCTAATAATTATTGTTGGTATACGTATATTACTCGCAGTTACACCTATAGTTAGGTAATAGTGATATTAAATAAACCACCATATAATATAATTTTTCAAGCATTGAAATACGTGTAACGTTCAAATTTTTAGAAATTATGTTGAATATTATATTATATTTTTTTTTGCATATGTGAAATNGAATCATTTAAACACTTCTAATAATTATTGTTGGTATACGTATATTACTCGCAGTTACACCTATAGT